AGACCCTGTCTCCAAAAAAAAAAAAAAAAATACTCCTCCTGTCTTCGATGGTGTATCCTTTGACCACATCTCCCCATTCCTCTCTCTCTTAACTACCCAAGTCTCTGGTAACCACCATTCTGCTCTATTCTGTTTGAGAGCAGCTTTCTAAAATGCCACATGTGAGTGAGAACATGTGGTATTTGTCTTTCTGTGTCTGCCTTATTTTACTTAACATAATGCCTCCAGGTTTACCTATGGTGTCACAAATGACAGGATTTTATCTTCTTTTATGGTTGAATACTACTTTATATGGTTTGGCTGTGTCCCCACCCAAATCTCATCTTGAATTACACTCCCATAATTCCCATGTGTTGTAGGAGGGACCCAGTGGGAGATAATTTGAATCATGGGCGTGGTTTCCCCCATACTGTTCTCGTGGTAGGGAATAAGTCTCATGAGATCTGATGGTTTATCAGGGGTTTCCACTTTTGCATCCTTCTCATTTTCTCTTGCTGCCACTATGTAAGAAGTGCGTTTTGTCTCCCGGCGTGATTCTGAGGCCTCCGCAGCCATGTGGATCTGTAAGTCCAATAAAACCTCTTTTTCTTCTCAGTCTTGGGTATGTCTTTATCAGAAGCATGAAAATAGACTAATAAGGTACTCCATTGAGTACATATGCCACATTTTCTTTATCTATTCATCCACTGATGGACACTTAGGATAATTCCAGAACAGGCAAACATATAAAAAAAAAAAGTGGCTCCCTTGGATGGGGTAAGGCAGAGGAAATGGGGGAGTGGAGAAATGGGGAATGACTCCTGATGACTATGGCGTTTTCTTATTGGATGCTGAAAGTATTCTAAAATTGTGGTGATGGTTGCACAGCTCTGCAAACATACCTCAATAAAGCTGTTTATAAAAAAGGATTCAAAAAACCAGTGGACAACAGGATCCTGTTGCCTCATCTGGGATGCATGGTGACACAATGGCTGACCATCACACAGCCTTTTGATGCCCAGGAAGCTAGAGCCTGGGCACTCCAGCAATAAAACCAAACGCCTCTGGTGCTGGGTTAGCCAGCAAGAAGAGCAGGCCTAGCCTCAGTTCCGTCTGTCAGAGTGCTGGGTCTGTTTGGTGGAAATGAGTCTCACGTGGAACCCAAGTTGAGAGGAAATTGTAAAATGTGGCGGCCTATATCAGAATTTCTGACTTACCCTGTAGTAAATCCTGCTACAAGAAAGCGGGGTGGAAGGGAAGGAGTCAGTCTCCAATGTCTGTCTTCAAGGCTTCATGGAGAAACAGCTGCTTGAGCTGGGCTTGAAAGATGAATGAGGATCCACAGGACAAAGAAGGGTGGACAAAGAGGGTACTTTGAGCAGGGGCAGCTGTGCTATTGCCTACTGCATACTGCCAGGGTATGGAGCTATGAGAATTCATGTCCAGGTCACATGGATCAAAGTCATTAGAAATAACATTAGCACACCTGCCTGACCAACGTGGTGAAACCCAGTCTCTACTAAAAATACAAAAATTAGCTGGGCGTGGTGGCACGTGCCTGTAATCCCAGCTACTCAGGAAGCTGAGGCAGGAGAATCGTTTGAACCTGGGAGGCGGAGGTTGTAGTGAGACAAGTTCGCGCCATTGCACTCTAGCCTGGGCGACACAGCGAGATTCTGTCTCAAAAAAAAGTAACATTAGCACAAGATGTAAACAATGAGCAGTAAGGAACGGAGGTGGGAGAGGCATACAGGGGTTTTGGATTTCTGACTTTAAGCTGTAAGTAGTAGGAAGCCACAGAAAGGTTTTAAGAGGGGTGTGTGTGTGTGTGTGTGTAATGGGGACAGGGATTTTCCTTGACTGCTGGGTGTGTTACTACCACGGTGTTCTGGGAAATGTTTAACAACTGGCTCACCCAAGGGAAGGAAAAAACGCCCTGATTTGTCGGATATTCCAATTCCTGTGTTGTAAATACTCCCAACATATCCCGTTTCAGCCTTTCTCCATGATATCACTGAATGTGGAGTTGGGACGAGATGCATACAGTTGGCTCTTGGAAGCTGGCACCAGTGCTTCTATACGGTAAGTCCTCATTTAACGTACTTAATGGGTTACTGGAAACTGCAACTTTGAGTGAAGTGATGTAGAATGACGCCAATTTTACCATAGCCTAACTGAGAGAAGCAAGAGTTATGTTCCTGTGGCATACTTCTGGTCACAAAAGCATCACTAAACTTCGAAATAAAGACCGAAAACGCTTCTAATATTACACATGAAAAATACGTGTGAGCTATACATACACAGAAGAAAGATCGATAAAAACAAGAAAATAATTTATCCATAATTTGGTGAATCAGGCAGTAATGGCAGTGCATTAAATCAAGGAATAAATGTTTACAAAGTGAAATTGTAAGGAGCACCTCCTACCACCATGCAGTTCAAAAACACAGATATTGTGGGCTCACTGAGCATTCTTGTACCGCATCGTTTACTGTGCATTTGTATGATTGTTTACTTTACAAATTTGTATTTTAGATTATCTTGTATTCATTTTTCCACTCATTTTTCTTTTATATTCTTTTTCTTTTTTCCTTTTTTTTTTTTTTTTTTTTAGCAGGGTCTTGCTCTGTCACCCAGGCTGGAGTGCTGTAGCAAGATCTTGGCTCACTCCAAACTCTGCCTCCTGGGTTCAAGTGATTCTTGTGCCTCAGCTTCCTGAGTAGCTGGGATTACAGGTGTGTGCCAGCATGCCTGGTTAATTTTTGTATCTTTATTAGAGATGGGGTTTTGCCATGGTGGCCAGGCTGGTCCTGAACTCCTGGCCTCATGTGATCTACCCACCTTGGCCTCCTGAAGTGTTGGGATTATAGATGTGAGCCTCCGCACCTGGCCTCCACTCACTTTTCAACCCACTTACATAATCAGTTCAGGGCCATGGGTGGCTGGAGCCTATGTGGACAGCTCAGGGCACAAGGCGGGAACCAGCCCTGGACATGATGCCCTTCCATTGTAGGAAGGACTCACACCCACACTCACACTCATTCACAATTGGACTATTTAGGCATGCCGTTTGACCCAACGGTCACATCTATGGGACATGGGAAGAAACTGGTGTATCCGGAACAATCCCAGGCAGACATGGGGAGAACTGCAAACTCCACACAGGCAGTGGCCCTGGCCGGGAATCAATTTTTTTTGTTTGTTTTTTTCCTAATCAATGTCATAATGACACAACATTGAGTGAAATGATGTTATTGAGGGCCTGCAGTCTATCTCATGTGACTTAATTCTCAAAGCAACCCTATAAGGTGAATAACAGTTCTACTTCACTAACGATGCTAGAGGGATAATAAGTATTTTATTCAAGGTTATATGCAACCAATCAGTGGTTGAGCTTTGTTTTAAATCCACGCCTATCTGTTTTCAAAGCCAACATTTTTTTCAAGATGACATGCTGCCTCCAGAAGAGTAATATCGTCAGATCTCTACTTCAGAAAAATTCCCAGGCAGGAATACAGAGCAGGGATTGGTGTTGCAGTGTAAGAGCTCTAGAGCCTCATGTAACTGAGTGGGTGTATGTGTTCCAGTATAACTTTATTTACAGAAGCAGGGGGCAGGGCTGTATAGCACAGAGGTGGATTGGAGGGAACAAGGCCTGAAGTGGGGAGATCACATCGAAGGCTATTGAAGGGGCTGGGGGAGAAGTGATGAGGCGGAGCCCAGGCATGTCACGGTATCAGGAAACATAAACATATTTGATGGAATTGCAGGACAGAATGTTGGCCTTCCATCTCATTATATGGGAATGTGTAGGAGGAAGGGGCAGAGTTATAAATGGGAAATCCGGGATAATTTCCAGGTTTCCAGTTTTTAGCTGTGAACTTAGTTCACATTTTGGCCAGGACGGAATTGTGAGGAGGAGGTTTCTTTGGAGAAAGCGTGTTTTCGGTGTGGGCATGTTATGTTTCAAGGCTCTGCAGGACATCCAAATGGGAATGTGCAGTGGAAACACAGAAATGCATGAGCTCGGCACAGAGCTGAGCTGGAGCAGTCAGTAGAGAGGTGGCAGTCAAAACCTTGGCTGTGGATGGGCTTACCAGGAGTATGGGGAGGTCTGAGACTAGGCCGGGGGAATCAAGGAGCTGAGGAGTGACAGGGATGGTCTCAAGGAGAACTTTCTAGAGATAAGAGTGATTCCAGCACCAGAAAGCGGCTGCCAGTTTTAGAAGCTGTCGTGAATGCTGTGGCGGGCTGCTCAGATGCCGCTTTAAGAAGGAACTTTTCCAGCTGTTTTGAGTACCATCCAAAGATGGGCCCCAGCTGTCAGCTTTCTTGGGTTTGTCTCAACTGAAGAAAACTGCCGTACCCTAGCTAGATCTTTCTTCTTTCCAGAGATAACCTGTATTTACCAATCAATGATGGCATAAAGGCTCAGCTCCCTTGTCCCAACTGGGGGACAGCTCTGAAGAGCCGTTGCTGCTCCCATTGTGGGGTGGCTGAGGCCTAAGCTGGGCATGCACTACAGCTCAGCTTCTCCCTCTGCCCAGGCCTGTTTCCCTCCCTTTTTAAGGTATTGAAACCCAAGTGCACTCCTCGGTACACAACCGGCTTGAGAATCTCTGTCTCAGCATCTGCTTCTTTGGGGGGCCCAGCATGTGACTGATGCTCTCGTTCCTTTTGTTCTTTGCACTCTTGCTGTTTTGAACATGGCTATGCAACTACCGAATGTTGCTATTCGAGGGTGAGCAGGCCCAGACCCACCTATTTATCCATCAGATTCTGACGCAAGCTTGTCCAACCCACAGCCCAGGTTGGCTTTGAATGCTACCCGACACAAATTCGTAAACTTTCTTAAAACATTGAGGTTTTTTGCAGTTTTTTTTTTTTTTTTTTTGCTCATCAGCTATCATTGGTGTTAATGTATTTTACAAGTAGCCCAAGAAAATTCTTCTTCCAATGTGGCCCAGGGAAGCCAAAAGATTGGACACCCTCATCCTAAAGCAATCCAAGACTCTGATGTCTTAATGACTGAATAAAGCTTTATTTTAATGTAAAATATGACAAGAAAAATTTATATACTCATATATAACAACTTCCAAAATGTTTTCTGTGGTACAAATGAGATCATCTTAAAAACTTTTTAAAGAATTCATCCTTCACCCCCATATGCCAAAATATGATTTCACATAATTTATCTTCAGAACTTATGAACAGACTTGGTATCACAAAAGCATAGGAAACACCAGAAAAAGTGACGGGACAAACAACAGGTTTTGTTTTAGGTTCCAGTAGTAAGCACCCCTGCAGATGGAACAGGAGAGCACTTTCTGAAGGAGCCCAGTCAGGAGACAGGCTACAAGAGTCTGGGCTTGGTTCATTTCCTGTAGCCAAGCCTGTCTTTAAAAGTCAGGCTGTGTGTGATTCTGTGACTATTTAAGGACATGTGGGAGAAAGAGTTTCACTTAGAAGTCACAGCTGCGTGTGAGATTCTAGGCTTATTTTAGATATCTAACTTTTTTTCCCCACCTTTTTATCAGAAAAGTGACTTTGTAGGGATACCTTACGGAGACTCCTCTTTCTGGTCTTGCTGTGGCATCATTTCCAGCTAAGTCGGCAGGAACTGGGAGTGCTGAGAAATACTCCTGTGGCTGTTTCTGAGTCCAAATCCCTCCTGCCTAATTGCACTAAGACCAGTCTTTCTGTTGCTCATGGACTCGGAAAGCAGTAGGGTGTCCTCCCAATTTAAAGGCCATTCATTGTAGGTTTCAGAGTTTAATGCCAAAGGGAGTTGTACAGACACACATTCAGACCAAACTCTTTAGATCTCTTTACACTCCTGAAATGCTCCAATGTTCCTCCAAAGAAAAGGAATGCAGTGGTTACAGGTTTGGGGAAATAATTACTCTTTATAGGCTTGATATTTTTGCATGCCAGGGAAAAGAGAAATGAGCTTTATGAGCCTCCTAACGTTGTGAGGTGGCTTTTCTTCAGAAGATCACTTTAGTTCAAGAATTTTATGAATCTTTGGAAGGGATAATGAGTCACGTTTTAATTTGATTGAGTTGGTGGAAAACTATAGCTACAGTGAAGCCTCCATTCTTCCCCATCAGGATCCACGGGTGACAGTCCGTCTGAGAACCCCTACCATGCTCTTAAGATCTTTACTTGGTGCCATCCTGTGGGGGTCAACACATATATACCTACAGATCTAAGAATAATGAGCTTCAGAATAATTGTTTTTTCAATTTTTGTTGGCTATTAGGTTATGATTTAAGAAAATGTTCCTGTCTCTGAGCTTGTATTTCATCCGCTGATTTGATATTGTGAGGAAACGGCACTATGGCAAGAGTGAGTGCCACCGCCCGATGGCATAATGGATTCTGGGGAGGCTGTTTCTCTCCCTTGTGGAAGTCTCAATTCTCCTGCATCTAAAAGTTTTCAATGGTCTGTCCTCTTTCATCTCTACTCCTGCAAAAAGGGAGAAAAATAGGGCTTCTTAAAATACCTAGTGACTTGAGGGCAGACATCATTTCACGGCCTTCATGACCCAGCGGTCAGGTCTGCAGCCAAGTGGATGGATGTTGATTGGGTTTGGGGCTCAATGCGCCACGCTCTTCCAGGGGGGCTATTAGTGTTCTGAGCTACACGGAGACACCAGATTGAGTTTTCCCAAGGCCATAAATACATTGGGAGCTATTTCCTGCTACCAGGCACATTACTGATTATAGCCTGGTCTTCTAAATACTCTAAAAACCTGTTCCCCTAAATGCTGGGAAAGAGTCCTGTAACCTCTGGGTGGTAACAGTTGAAGGGTGAGTACACAGGCATTTATAAATCTTACATTTGAGCTGTTAATTGTTGCTCGGCTTGATGGAGCCTCTGTCTGTCACAAATATAATGTTAGCTTCTTTCAGGCAGGATCAAATAGAGCGTGTGTTATACTTCAAGCAAGCAAAGAAAACTGTTGCAATCTAGTTTTTGTTCACTTTAATAGTACCTTCACATCACTGGCTGCCACTCAGGATTAGCAACTATTTTACTGACTTTGTATACAACACAAAACCCAGTTTTGGAGCAGTTTACCCTGAGCCTGTGTGCAGGAGGTACTGCACACTCCGGTGGCAACACCGCAGGTGAAAACATGGGCACTCTTCCTGCAAAGGCCACTCCTTCAAGACACAGGATTCTCACCTGACACCATCACGCCTGGCTGCCCCTCAAGTGGCCTAGGCTTAATCCAGAAGGAAAGTTCCGGCTTGGCTATGTTTAGTAGTCTACAGTAGTTTGGTTAAAATATGGAACCTACTGAAGAGCTGCTGGTTTTTAATGCTTCAAAACAAGTTACGCATCCCTCATATTATCATTTTCTTGTTTAAGGTGTATTTAGCTTGAGGGGAAGGTAGCATTGAGCAGGCCAGCAGGGAAACCCGTAGCTCCCCTGCACTCCACCTCAGGTGAGCAGGGCCTGAGATCCTCAACCGCTTGGAACAAATTGCAAACAATCTAAAGGTGCCTGGCTTAACAGAGATGACAGAACAGAGACAAAAAACTTGATAGTCTGTTTTCAGCAGGGCCATAGTAAACTGTAGTTAAGAAAACAATATTGCAAAGTCCAGTATCTAACACTATTTATGTCTAAAACTAGCAGTTGCATCCTTCTTGGTAAGAGAATTCTATTTTAAATTAAAGAGTAGGCTGGGGTAGAGGGATGTCCTATGTATTCAATAATACTATAATTTATTAAATCCTGTGAGTCAGAGGTATGCTAATCTCAGCCAAAATAGACCTAAATTAAACTCAAGACTTTTTTTTTTTGGAGGGAATAAAGAAGGAATGTGAAAAGGCTTAAAGTATATCAAGCGTCACTGCCCGGTTCAAACCAATGCTCAGGTTTCACTGTCTTCCACATCTTTTCTTTGTGTTCTCATTTGGGCCAGGTTGTATATTTTAGAGGTTTTAGTTTTCATAGAAAATTACTGCAAAGCTCAGAAAACATTGTGATAGGTTGGTTCAACTTAGAGGGTGGGGTTTCAGCTTTTTAAAGCCACAACACTGTCCTTTTCCAATTGGATGCCTTGGCCCTGCGCTGACCTGACTTTAGTTAATGAAATATAGCAAATGCAGGTGAATTTAGTCTTAATGCCTTTTCTCTCTTTCCCTCCATTTTCCCCCGCTTTTGCATCAAACTCTCCAGAAAGCATTATCAATCTTTGATTCTCCATACTGGCAATCATATGTGTTCAAACACACACATACATACACACACACACACACTCTCTCTCTCTCTCTTCCTCATTTCCTTCCATCTAATACCTGCTGGTCATCAGTTTCCAGAGGCCACGGTCAGCTCCTCACCATCCCCGAGTGCAGATGGTTACCACTTGGCACTGAGTCTGGACTTGGCATTTCCAGGGCACTGCCTCCTGTGAGACCTCCCCAGTGGCCCTCTTTTTCCTAACTACATTTTAGCCCTCAAGTGGGAACCTTAAAGTAGAGACCCCAGTTAAAGTAATTCTAGGCAGGAGATTTGGGGCTGACTCTGAAACCAGATATCTCTATGCCTGGAATGTGAGAGGGAGGAAGGTGAGGGGTGTGGGATGTTGAACCCTCTTAACCTGATCACCTTGGTCCTTGGAAGATACTCCTGGAAGCTCTGACCAGCTGTGCACATTCTCCCAGGACTAATACTGCATTTTACTGACTTTCATATCAAAAGTTAGGAAACATGAAATGTTTACATCAAATGAGTAGTATCGGGAACCTGAGAAATTCTACAAGTAAAGAAATGCAGTCTTTCTCTCGGTACAAAATATTTCAAGATCACTAGTCATGTTTGCTTTTGTTTTTTTTCTCAGTAAAAAAAGTCTATACTCACTTCAGATGCTCCTATCTCTGTCTACTCTGCCACTCCTTAGACTTCACAGCTCTAATAAGGGGGCTGAGACTCCACCTCTGAGCGGGTAATGCTGCCTGGCAGAGACTGCCTCTGGACCGCCAATCTCATGCTGGCGGGGCGCGGGGTGTCCACGTGTCTGTACATCAGGCAGGTTAACTAGTCAGGGAGGCTCCCCAGAGTAGAGCTCCACTGTTAGCTGTTTGTGTGTTCTGCTGCCGCTCTCACCGATTTGAACAACTCTGAAAATGTTTCAACTAGCAGGTAGTTTTGTTTTTATAGCTCCATCTTTCATCTTCCTTCTGATTTTTTTCCTCCCCAATCCCCTTCCCCTTCTTTTCCCCTCTGATTAGCAGTCAAGCGTTACAACGTCAGTGAGAAAACGCTAATCAGTCCTGTGGAGAATTCCTAACACCAAGGAGGTCTTCAGGTCTAGAAAGGGCAAAAGTAGTGTAGACACCTTCCTTTCTGGGCTGGGTTGGCCTCCGTGGCACTCGGCTATACGGCTGCAGTCATGGGGTTCTTCTGCCGGGAATCCTGGGTTCGGTAAGGGTACTGGTCCGGGCTGCCCCCGCGGGGCGCTGGTCTGCCCGTTTCCTGATAGGCTGGCATTCTTTGGTGCTGGGGAGGGGAAGGCGGGACGTCTTGTCGAAAGGGTCCTTTGTGCTGCGGAGCAGGCGGAGGTGGGTAGTGCTGAGGATACCGGAGATCTGCCACCCTCAGCTCTGTGGGGCGGGGATAGCTCCCTTTGGGAGGGTGCATAGGATGAGCCCCTGGATAATAGGGAAGCTCCCTTTCCTTGTAGAGCCCTCGAGGTGCTGCTGGCAGATAGTCTACAGCATCTGCGGGTCCTCCCCTGGAAAGAGAAGAAGAGACACATGTCAGCAGCTCCTAAGCTGGCTGTCTGGCTGGAGAACATGTTCCTCAGCCTCCTGCGCAGTTTGGTATGGCCATCAAATAGGTCTGGCCAATGGGATGGGAGAAGAAGTGATGCATGCCCTTAAAAAGAAGAGAAGGGACCTTCTTCCCTTCTCTCCTTCCTGTTGGCTGTCGGAAAAACCATCTTAGGCCACAAGGTGAAAACCATGTGCTGTGGGAGGCAGAGCAATAAGAAGGTGAGAGCCTGGGTCCCCATTGCCATGGAGCCACCATGTCAATCAGGACTGCTTCCATTCAGGTTGGTGCATAAGAGGAAAATATACTTCTATCTCGTTTATACCCTTTTCTGTTGGCCTTTATTATAGTAACCAAACTAGTTTCCTAAATAAGGCAGTGAGTTTGCCTCTCTTAAGGATGGGGTCATTAGTTCCCTGCCCTTTTCTACCACCATATCTAGGACAGGCTGGGCTGAAGTCTGTCCTAGAGATGGTGATAGAAATGTTCAGGTTATTTGGATTCATAAAGTTTCCATGGACCGCACTCGCTTTTCTAAATTTGTGAGGTGCTCTTTTAAATGGGCTGTCATCTTGGTCTAACTCTGGTTGGCTGCTGTTACATCTTGGTGTGGATTCATATGTTCCTCCCCTCCCTAAAGTCTCTATAGTCCTTAGAAAAAGTCCCCAGCCAGAGCACCTAGAACTTTAATTTTATTTTTTTAATTTTTTTTTTTTTGAGAGGGAGTCTCACTCTGTCACCCAGGTTGGAGTGCAGTGGTGCGATCTCAGCTCATTGCAACCTCTGCCTCCCGGGTTCAAGCAACTCTCCCACCTCAGCCTCCCGAGTAGCTGGAACTACAGGTGCCCACCACTATACCTGGCTAAGTTTTGTATTTTTTTTTTTTTTTTGTAGAGATGGGTTTCATTATGTTGGCCAGGCTGGTCTCAATCTCCTGACCTTAGGTGATCTGCCTGGCTCGGCCTCCCAAAGTACTGGGATTACAGGCGTGAGCCACTGTGTCCAGCTCACACCTAAAGTTTTGATAGAAAGTAATCGGTTCTATCACAAAGCCAGGAAGTAGCACCAGGCCAGTAGCAGAATAGGGAAATGCCAAACCAGCTGTAAGTTGCACCTTGTAATGGGTAAGGCACACAGAAACATCCAGGGTAAGAACAGACACTAACAGAAAGTGGCCCTGTCTGGATCTCTCTACTAAAGAAAACAAGCATCTTCTGATCCATTTGCCACAACAGAAGCAGTGTGCCTCTAAACAATGTGCAGATGACTGCATCTTATCTAGCCTGGGGTTAAACAGATGAGTTCTGTTTGCAGCTCTTAAAATCTCATAAACCTTCTGTGCACATTCACCACTGCCACCATCCCCAGATCCTTTCCATTTTTTTTTACCACTCCCCCTTTTATAATTTTTTAAAAAGAAAACAATAATAATTAAGGAAAAGCTCCCCAATGTCAGACACACTGCTAGGACACTTTAAAGAAACGACAGGGCTGTGAGAATACAGTGTCTGTGGTTAATCAAGCACTGTCAATGAGGGTCAGAATCACCCCATCATCTGTGGAGCTGGATGTTAAAACAGCTGTGTAAGGTGCCCAAATCAATGAAGATTTGACAAGCTCCCAGCTCGGTGCATGTAGAAAGCAGCTTGTGAACAAATCTATAAGTATGAACAATAGAATTCTCTCTCTACTTTTTTGTCTTAATTTGGCTAGGTATAATAATGAAAGATAGATCGTTGAGCTTGGGGTAATTTAGTTAGAATTTTCAGATAAAAAAATTAAATTGTGTACAAGTTATTACAGCATCAGCTGCTGTTATTCAGTGCAGTTTGCTTTGCTATATTTTAAATTGCCCATGACAAATGGAGCACAAATGGATAATCTGTCACTCTAGCCATGGGAAACAAAGGCTCTGGATTTCACCTTTCCTTTTCTTTAGAATTTCATTTTTGATTTAGAAAACTTCCAGCCTTTGGTATATCTTTTATCATAAGAATTCTTTAAGTCTCTCCCCCCCACCTCACCATGCTCATTTTTATTGGTTTTTGGTTCATTTTGGAGACATCTGATACACTTAAAAAATTTCTTAACCTGTGCTTTCTCTCAAAATCCACTGAAGATATTTCTCTGCATGAAGTGAAACATGTGGTTTTTCTGCACTCATTTTAAGCCCTTAGGATAAATCACTGACATTTGCAACACACAAACATTATTTGCCTTCAAATGAACATACAACCAGCGCTCCCTCTGGACTCTCTTAGCATGAATGCTTCCTGTTTAAAATGGAAAGAGAGAAAGGAAGAATTCCAGGCCTTGGACTTTTAGGGTCCTGTTCTCTCCCTGGAGAGTTCTCTCTTTTAGAACAGAGTATTATAAAAGACAGGCATGCCTTGTTTTTTAAAATTTTTGGAGAGAGAATCCAGATCAAGTGGTGACGGGGCAGAAGCCACCCTGAGAGGCTGAGACAGTGCAGTCGGTGAGCACATGGTGGGACAGTCGCTATCTCTTCTCCCACACCTCGCTCCTCCCAGCGGCCAGCGCTCACGGTGAGGAGGGAGGCTTCCCGTGGGCAGATAGGGCAGACCTCGAGACACTTTTGTGGTCCCATGTTGCTTCCTCTGAGGGGAGGCTTTATGTCTGGGAGTTTGCTTATATGTGGCAGAAAGCAAGTGAGGTAGCTGTTCTTTGTCAAGAAATGAAGTCATGGAAATTGTCTTTTTCTGTAGAACTCATCATAACAGTTAGCGTTTTTAATTTTTCAGAGAGAAGAAAAACAATGAGCTGGCCTACCAAAACACTGTTTAAGGTTCAAAGAGTGCTAGAAGAATTTTTCTTTTTTTGGGGGGATGGTGTGTAGCTGTTGTTTATAACAACCTTTTGCTCATAACAGAATTTCCTACAGACTTTTGCCAGAACAACTTCTAAGCTCTTCTGAGTATTATGTGTGGATTATTTTAAATTATTAAAAAAATAATTTTGGCCAGGGGCGGTGGCTCACGCCTGTAATTCCAGCACTTTAGGAGGCCAAGGTGGGTGGATCACTTGAGGTCAGGAGTTAGAGACCAGTCTGGGCACCATGGTGAAACCCCGTCTCCACTAAAATTACAAAAGTTAGCTGGGCATGGTGGTGCATGCCTGTAATTCCAGCTACTCAGGAGGCTGAGGTAGGAGAATCGCTTGAACCTGGTAGGCAGAGGTTGTAGTGAGCCAAGATTGTGCCACTATACTCCATCTTGGGCAACAGAAAGAGACTCTGTCTCAAGAATTTTGAAACAGGGAAAATAAGCCCCTCCTCATTAACTACAGAACTTAGAGGAAGAAAAGGCAGCTAAAATTTTAGCTTTGTTAATCGTGAGTTTCTCTTTTCATAGTCTCTTTATTTGTGTGAAACTTAGTGTTTGTAGGAAAGTCCAAAACCAATCCATTCTGGGGCCCCAGCAATGCCTATCACAGTGTCGGATATTGTGTGCTTTGAGCCAACCCTGAGGAATCCAGGGGCAGCTTCCTTAGGAGATTCTGATTAAAACAAGAATCTGCATAACAAATGTATCAGTACTTTAAGACCTTTCATTTTTCATGTGACTTCTTGAGTTTTATTTGTATATGTTACTGTTTTTCCTTAAAAACTTTCAATTTAAACATTTAAAAATTTTACTCAGAAACCATATTTACTTAAGGAAAGATAAACAATCCTTTATAACTCTTAAAGGGGGCTGTCATGAAAATACCTATATTTTGAAATTATTGCTTATTTTATTTCGATTAGGCTCCTTTCTAGAGGCCAGAAGGATTCAGATTTTGCTTGGAAAACTGATAGGAACTATCTCAGGCATGCAGTTTTCAATCACATAGATGTACCCAATAAAGAAAGTTAACCATTAAGTCTGAACACGATAAAGATATATGTTATTTACATGTAAAGAAGCAATAAGCATCACTTTGTTTACATAAGGATTTCTTCTTTTTTGCCATGTCAGTATGTCACTATTTTTCATTAAGCAAAAGCGGGGCTGGAAATGAGAGGCTAAGCTGGTCAGATAGCCAGCTCTGGGTGCCGACTACCTTCAGTTTATGCAAGGATGAAAGACATGTTCCTACATTTGCTAAAACAATTCTGTATAGGGAAAGGGCTCAATATTGGAAGGACAAAATCATGGCAAACCTCTTGCTAGGAATGAGGTGGCTGTACTTACAGGAACAGATGAAGGGGCATGAGCAATTTTGAATCCTCCCATGTCTACACCACCACCCTCAATTGCAAAGAAAATCTCTCTCCTCTGTTCTCACCACAGCTGCTCATTCTCACCTCATCTGTCTTTCACCCCGCCTTGTGGCTGGTTGTATACTGCATGGAGTACAAGCATCTTGAAGGAAGGAACTGAGTCTTACATATCTAATGATCTCCCTTTGAGCTTAACACAGGGCTTTGCACATCACAGGCGCTCTACAAATGCATGTTGAATTTGTTCAAGAGAGTTTAAAGTAAAGAGAAAACCCATACACATACAGTAACTATAAAAGGTTCAATGTGGGGTAGGGGCTGGAGGAAGGTAGCAGAATAAGAGGAGAAAGTGGGCTTTCTTTGGGAGCCAGGGATCGATGGTGGTTGAGGTGAGACTGATCTCTAATTTCTGAAGAGGGAAGTAGAAGGGATGCTGGGCTGAATAAAGGGTTGGATTAGGTCCAACATAGAATGCTGAAAACTTTACCAGGGTAGAGGTTATTTTATTTGTTTTGTTTGCCAAGAACAAGATTATACTGTCTTATCTCTGTTGCCCTACAGAGTACTTGAAATACAATAGATGCTCAATAAATCTTGGACTGGGATTCAATCTCCTTGACTTCCTAGTGAGCTCAGCATGACTAACTGGTGCTGAGGAAACTGAGAGCTATCTTGACTCAAAATTAACTGGAAACTGGGCTTACTAGGTGCAGGTTAAGTGTATTTATTCAAGGGTCAGT